CGGAAGGTTACTAGCATGAACATAAATTCCCGCTACGCGAATATGACATGAATAAGTTTTCTTATCAAAATCATCAACATTTATATGACTAATTTATTACATCGGTTGACACATTAAAAATATCAAACAAAAAATTTAATAAAAATTACTTAAATATTCTTAAATTATAAAATTGAAAGGGATAAATATATCATTTACATAATTGTTTAATTTAAAACAGTCAATTGCAAGTTAACATGAACAAAAGACGACACCATTTTTTCCAAGTCACTAATTTTTGATCAATATGAAATTCAGGGGTAGCAAAATATTAACCCATCCTATTTTAATGGATTCAATTAAACATTTGAACCCACTTCATATTAAGGTGGGTTAAAATTGAACAACTTGCGGGTCATTTTTTCACGTAAAGTAGCAAGTATATTTCATTCGTCATGTTAAATATTTTTATCTCAGTTCTCTTATATAAACACTACTAAAAAATGAATTTTTTCGACGGAAAAATTCCATCGAAAATGGTTAAAATTCCGTCGAAAATGAAGTTTTCGACGGAAATTAAGCCGTGGTGTATCTCTTCGTTGCTAACAATTTTTTGACGGATTTAGAGATTCCGTCAAAAAATTTCGACGAAATTTTCGACGGAAAATAAATAAAATTCCGTCGAAAATTATCGTGATGGTTTTTGACGGAAAAGGAATTCTGTTGAAAATTTTCAACGGAAAAACAATGGAATTCCGTCGAAAATTGTTGAAAAAGTTTTCGACGAAAAATAAATTCTGTCGAAAATTTTCAACAGAAAAACAATGAAATTCCGTCGAAAATTGTTGAAATTTTTTTTGACGGAAAATAAATTTCGTCGAAAATTTTCAACGGAAAAACAAAAAATTTCCGTAAAAAATTGTTAAAAAAGTTTTCAACGAAAAATAAATTTCATCAAAAAATTTCAACGAAAAATTAATAAATTTCCATCGAAAACTAATGTAAAGATTTTCGACAAAATTAATACCTATTTCTCTCTACAAAATTAATACCAATTTCTCTCTACACTTCAATAAAGTTTTATGCCATATCCACTTAACTACAAATGTAAATTTCTCATTTCCATTCCTCCCATGTCTCCCTAATAAAGAGCTAAGAAATTTGAGCAGAATTTTTACCAGAATAATTGCTTCTAGCATTGGCATTAGGCTGCAATGCTTCCAATGACTTTACGGAACCCCATAGCTTCTTATTCTTTACACCATGTAGCATTTCAAGCAAATAAAGTCAAAATAACTTAAGTGAAACACAAAAAACATGACCATACAGGTGCAACGGATACATGTATAATCCAAACTAACCTGTCTTCCCAACATGGAAGCAAAATCTTCGGAAAGAATAGGCAGTGCTTTGGACTGCCCTATGTTAACAGTCCACAACTTTGTCAAAGACAGATGAATGATGATAGATGCCACAGATAAAGTGAATACAGACAGAACAACCCATTTTATCTTAGTTCTGAATGCCATCTTGGCTTAGTGACACAACATCACCAACCAGTTGTCTTTGAACTTAGCTGCATAATTTCTTCAAGAAAATCCTATTATTCACTACTTAGTTAAGCCCCTCCAAACTTTACTGAAGCATTGTCAAACAGATGCACTTCTGCATATACTGTGTCAGCTTAAATTGGGCAGAACAAGTTTAATGATATTCCAAATTGAATGTGCTATATCACATTTTATAATTATTTTAAAAATTTCCAATGTTGCATCCATGTCTACTTCTGCATATACTGGTGGCAGTCCCATATTGTGCAACATCAAAATAAAGCACTTGCCATCAAAGGTTTTCAAACACCTCCAATTTCCAGTACTAAAACCAATTAACCAATACCTTCTAAGGGTTGCAGACACTAAAGAAAATAAAAACTGAAGAGGAACTGTTTATTTAAACCATGTAACAGAAAGTATATAAAACCCATTTAGATAAAGGGCATAAAAAAATGGGATATTGGAGACTGTAGATATTTACCATTGTCAACGATACTACTAATGTAGATATTTAGATATAGCCTCCCATTTCTTGCACCGATTTCCCATTTCACCGTCGCTGCACGTCGTTGCCGCCTCCGCTGCTGCGCCTCGCCGCCACTGAGCTGCTGCACCTCGCCGCTGTCGCTGCTGCCCCCGCAGCACGTCGTTGCGGCCTCCACTGCTGCACCTCGCTGCCTCTTCTCCATTGTCTAGCCGCCTTTCTGTCAACACTAAGTCATTTTCTTTGTTTTAGCTTAAATTAGAGTTTGTTACTCTCATTTACAATCATAAATATAATTTGTATGTAATTGTTTTCGACAGAATTCGAATTCCGTCGAAAACTCATAAATATAATTTCTTTTTGATTTATTTTTGTGTAATTGTTTTCGACGAAATTCGAATTCCGTCGAAAACTCATTAATATATTTTTCTTTTCGATTTATTTTTATGCAATTGTTTTCGACGGAATTCGAATTCCGTCGAAAACTCATTAATATATTTTTCTTTTCGATTTATTTTTATGCAATTGTTTTCGACGGAATTCGAATTGCGTCGAAAATTCATAAATATAATTTTCTTTTTGATTTATTTGTATGAAATTGTTTTCGACGGAATTCGAATTCCGTCGAAAACTCATAAATATAATTTCTTTTTGATTTATTTTTGTGTAATTGTTTTCGACGGAATTCGAATTCCGTCGAAAACTCATTAATATATTTTTCTTTTCGATTTATTTTTATGCAATTGTTTTCGACGGAATTCGAATTCCGTCGAAAACTCATTAATATATTTTTCTTTTCGATTTATTTTTATGCAATTGTTTTCGACGGAATTCGAATTGCGTCGAAAATTCATAAATATAATTTTCTTTTTGATTTATTCTGTATGTAATTGTTTTCGACGTAATTCGAATTCCGTCGAAAACTCAGAAATATAAATTATTTTTGATTTATTTTTGTGTAATTGTTTTCGACGGAATTCTAATTCCGTCGAAAATTCATAAATATAATTTTTTTTGTTTTATTTTCAATAATGGTTTTCGACAGAAAATGAATTCCGTCAAAAATTCTTAAATATAATTCTATTTTTATTTATTTTATATAATTGTTTTCGACGGAAATAAAATTCCGTCGAAAAGTCATAAATATATTTTCTTTTTAAATTATTTTTATATACTGGTTTTCGACGGAAAACGATTTCTGTCGAAAATTCAAATATATAATTTATTTTTTATTTATTTAAAATAATGATTTTCGACGGAATTCGAATTTCGTCGAAAATTCCTTATTTTAATTTCTTTTTTGTTTATTTTTATGTAATGGTTTTTGACGGAAAATGAATTCCGTTGAAAATTCATAAATTTAATTTCTTTTTTATTTATTTTTTACAATAATTTCGACGGAATTTATTTTTCGTCAAAAATTTTCGACGAAAAATGAATTCCGTTGAAAATTTGAACTTTTCTAGTAGTGAAAGATGAAGAAAATACTTGGTACGTGAAGAAAGTTATCCATCTAAACAGTGGCGGATATAAAAAATTTTATGAGGGGAGGCGAAAATAAATTATCAAAATTAAAAGTATTATTAAGAATAATAAAATGAATTAATTATTATAAATAACTTTTAGGAAGATGCTAACTATTAGAGTTTAAAATCTATTATTATTAGATAAATATTATTTTATACATATAATAATAATAAAACTAATGATCGCCCCTCCCTTCGGTTTATCCCTCGTCTAAGGATTAGAAAAAATGAATGGAGATGTGAGATAACATTAGGTAATACTATAAAATTTATAAATTAAGATTTATTTTAAAATTTTTATTTTTTAAAATAGGTTGATCCGTGAACACATCATAAAACAATTATTGTTTTCAACACACTTTTAAAAGTCAAGCCAACCCATCCAATCTCTTTTGTGACGGATCAATTGTGGGGCAGGACGAATCGATCCGTTTTATTATCTTTTATAATATGAAAAAAATTTACGTAGTATTCGGATCGTATCGGCCTCGTGTTAAAAATGGTAGATCCTATATACAGTATTCAACATTTACTTTATGTCATAGCTTGGTGCTGCCCACGTGAGTTGGTTTCTTTTGCTTCGTCCTTTATTAATAAAATAAATAATTTGGTATTAATTTATCCTTGATCATTGAATTTATACAATCTTTGTTTACGTCATAAGCATAGCAAATCTATCTGCACCTTTCTGTCTAATAAATTCCCAATATTATTGTTGTCATCGTGATTGAAATTTTAAAATATTTTTAAATCATCCCCATATATTCTCTAGTATACAAGTGTGCACGCGAACAAAAAGGTAAATTAAAGCACAAATCAATGTAACCATGTATCGTTTCTTAAAGTTTTCGGGAAAAACAGAGAAAAAGGCACTTTTTTTTTTTTGGTAAATTAAACAAGGCACCCATTTTTATTTTTTTGTTGCAGAAAAAGAAGCACCAATTTTAGTCAATTGACCAAATCAAATTTGGTTTTTACGGGTAAAATCATTCCGTTTACTCGCTCAACACCTAAAATCGCAAAATTGCTTGGTTTAGCAACTAGGACATATCACCTAATCATTACATAATTCTCTCTCATCTAATCTAATGACCTTTCCTAATCGTACGGTTCCTTTATCCATATTCTTTAGTTTTGGTACGTGAGTTAAGAGATGAACCACATACACAGGGGACGTTGCAAAAACAATCAGAGATAGAACGACATAGGACATTAATTGTTACAAGCAACGACCTTATGCCAACCAAAGTACCTTGTCGATCAATCCCAATACCAAACCACCCTACCTCCTCCAACAATGTTTGGCGGTTTGGCATGACAAGATATTGAAATTTTGTCATTGCTTTTCCTTAAACATTGCATCCATAACCTTTGCCCTATCCTTTGAGCCTTTCGATCGGCTTCTCCTTGTTTCTCTTTATATATCTTTTTACTTTGCATGAGTGCAAGGAAGGAATAATGACAGGGTCATCGAGAGGAGGACACTTATTCTTGGACGAAGGCAGTGTCCAAGGACGAAGATACGGTAAGTTAAAAAAAAACGACAAGGACGAGTTTGATGGTTATAACTCTGATAATCATCCAAGGAAAAACAGCCCCGTCACAATCGATGCACCACATTTGGATCCTCAAATGGCAGCAGATAATTCTCCATACGATCCATCCCTCTCTCCTTTATCTAAATCTCCATGGTCCTCTCATATGAACGAGGAAAGTTCCATGTCCAACGATAACGATGCTCTTGTGGGTTCACTAGTCCGCGAAGAAGGCCATATATACTCTCTTGCTGCAACCAAGGATTTGTTGTACACAGGTTCCGATAGCAAGAACATTCGCGTTTGGAAGAATCAGAAGGAGTTCGCAGGGTTCAAGTCCAATAGCGGTTTGGTTAAAGCCATTGTTATTGCAGGGGAGAAAATCCTCACTGGCCATCAAGATGGAAGGATCCGTGTTTGGAAAGTCTCCTCCAGGAACGAACAAATACACAAGCGCGTGGCAACATTGCCAACTTTGAGAAACTACATCAAATGTTCAATGAAACCTAGCAACTACGTCGAAGTTAGACGACACCGTAACATGCTGTGGATCAAACACTACGACGCAATCTCATGCCTCAGTTTAACGGAAGACCATTCTCTTATCTACTCTGCTTCGTGGGACAAAACATTCAAGGTTTGGCGAGCCTCGAACTTCAAGTGTTTGGAATCCGTGACAGCTCACGACGACGCCGTTAACGCTCTGGTGGTGGGGCTTGACGGGTTGGTGTTCACCGGCTCGGCGGACGGAACGGTGAAGATTTGGCGGCGGGAGGTGCAGGGGAAAGGGACAAAACATTTCTTCTCGCAAACGTTGTTGAAACAAGAGTGTGCGGTGACGGCGTTAGCGATAAACGAGGAAGGAACCGTTTTATACGGTGGGTCATCTGATGGGTTGGTGAATTACTGGGTGAGGGAAACGAGTCTCGAACACGGTGGCACTTTGAGGGGTCATAAGTTGGCGGTCCTGTGTTTGGCCACTGCAGGGAGTTTGTTGTTCAGTGGTTCTGCTGACATGGCAATATGTGTGTGGAAGAGGTCTTTGAGTAACGAGCATAGTTGCATTTCCATTTTGACGGGACACACTGGACCTGTTAAATGTCTCGCTGCTGAGAAGGATCCTGATGCAATGTGCAATGAGCGTCGTTGGATTTTGTACAGTGGCAGTTTGGATAAGTCCGTTAAGGTGTGGAGGGTGTCGGAGACTCCACCGCCCGGTACTATGCAAAACAACCACCAGCCTCCGCGTCTTAGTACTGAATTCCCTAGAGTCTCGTCCTTGCGAAAAATGGGGTCAAGAAGATACTAACTAGGACATGCATGCATGCACGTGTCTCTGTTTCGTTTGTACAGAGGAGGATAAGTGCCGTGTACTTCGTGTTCAAAGAGTGCAAGTGTACGTGATAGTTTGATTAATTAGTTCGTATTTGTGCACAAAGGAGCATGATGATTGATGATTTTCAAACCATTGTTTATGTTTGGAACACGCGCGGGGTGATACTGTTCCTTTATTTTAAAGTAAGCATCAGCGCATGAGAACTTCAAATTTAGGTTACTGCGCATCATCCCACAGATCTTCAATAAGAGGCTTGGTTGGTCCTTTGATAAGTCTCTCTTGATAGATTTCACTTATCTTCTTGTAATCATCCTCAGTCAATGACCAATCAAAGATTTGCAAGTTTTGCTTCATCCTCTCCTTGTCATAGCTGCTAACTGCAACAGTCAATTAGATTAGTCAATTAATAAGTCTGTCTTAAATAGAAAACAACATTAAAAAGAGTCCTGTTCCTGATATTTGCAACTCATCACGCATTTTAACAGCTATTACAGAGGATGCCTTTGTCGGGGTAAAAGGAAAAAGTGAAAAAGAAAAATGGCTAGGAGAAAAAAAAACTAAAATATAAATTATTCAATTGCATTTGCATCAACACAATAGTTAATCAGCATTAATGTTGAGAATCATTAATTATCACGGTATAAAACTCAATAAAATCAATTTCTTACTTTCCAACTAGATTTTCAGACCATGAGAAACCTTGCTTGCTCCATGTCCTTATCTTGAGCACAAATATGTAGGCATCTATCAGCTTTCCCCAGAAGCATGCTATGTAATATCAGATATTAAGACTTTAAATAAATAAATAATACTGAACTTTGAAATCTAACCTTTTTCAATAAGGGTTTTATTAGTATCATGTTACATAACCCAATAAAACTTTCCTACGCACACAATTAAGAGGTGGGGTCCACATGTTTTTTTTTTTCTTACATCATTTCACTTTCTCTCTCTTCTTTATTGTGAGGGTAGGAAAATTTTCTTATATCCTACAACATTATACTCATAAAACCCTTTCAATAATCATTTGATTCATTTTTACTATGAAAATATAAATCAGTATTACAAATTTTGCTCGGTCAACGAGATTATGCCACATAACGCACCAAGTTCGCTACCCCTGGTAGAGAACTTAATCTAGTCAGCTTTTTTTGCGAAAGTGTGACACGTGTCAAATAATCGTTGGCTACCAAATTCGCTACCAGTTGTAGCGAACTTGAACACGTGACAGTCAACTTTTCCTGTGAAAGTGTGCCACATGTCAAGAAATCATCGGCTACCAAGTTCGCTCCAAGTCGTAACGAACTTCAACACGTGGCTGGTAAATTTTATTGTTCGTACGACTGTTTGGTATATAAATGCTAAAAATGTGACACATTGATCGCTGTTGCTAGGAGTGTTCAAATTGTCCAAAAGAACCAAATCGATGCATAACCAAACTGCTCCACATTTTAAAACTCGGTTATTTTAAAAAATCGGTTTAATATGAAACCGCATTTTATTTTATAAACTGGTTATTTACCAAACCATAAAAATAATTGGTTATCTATAACCAAACTGCTTTACAATTAAAGAACAAATAATTAAGTATTATCTTTTATCATGCCTATTATATTAGTCAATTGACTCAAATTTCCAAACAATAGACTAGCAAAAAAAGTTAAGCAGCTCAAATAGAAAACATTTATTTAAAAAAAATTACACATAAATCGAAAGGTCGCATCCTAATAAAAGCACTTCTTATGTAACGTAACAACTTTTTTTTCCCAAAAAAAAAACCACATACAGGCCTCCTGGCAAACTCATAACTTGACAAGGCGAAGGCTTTGAAATGACAAAGATGAAGTTAAAAAATCATAACGTAAAGAGGCAACGAAATTAATCAATTGGCTTAACGTCTCTGAGATAGCGCCGTTAAAAGGACAACTTACAATGGATTTACTTATATGTTCTTTAATTATAAAGGAGTTTGGTTATGGATAACCAATTATTTTTATGGTTTGGTAAATAACAAGTTTATAAAAATAAAATACAGTTTCATATGAAATCGATTTTTAAAAATAACCGGTTTTTAAAATGTGGAGCAGCTTGGTTATGAATTGGTTTAGTTCTTTTGGACATTTTGAACACCCCTACCTATACCTTCCTCCATTAGTTCAAATGAAACTACTATTAATATAAATATTGAGAGAACGAAGAACAATTTTTTTTATAATTTTAAAATAATTCAACTATTCTTCTACCAATCACTCTCAAAACAACGTGAAACAATTTCTATAAGAATCATTTCGTCATGAGAGTTCCAAAACAATGAAGATTCTTGCAAGAAATAGTTGGTCAATTACCTATAACTGAGATAAACAAACGACTACTTATAAAAATAGCACAATCCATCAAAAATCGATTTTGAATTTGTTAAAAAATTGGTTTTGAACTTGATAGCCGGTTTATGGTTCATAACCGATTTTGATTTAAAACTGATTTTGAATTAAAACTGATTTTGAATTAAAATCGATTATATACTCAAAATCAGTTTTAAATCAAAATCGGTTATGAACCATAAACCGGTTTAGAAAATTAAAAATCGGTTTTAAAAGAAGAAAATCAGTTTAGTTTGAAAACCAAACAATTTAAAATCGGTTCGGTTCGATTTTTGTTAAAACAGATTATGAACCGTTCCATGGACACCCCTAACTATTGCGTTGCTACGAGCTTGAATTGATCTATGATGGATGATGTCACATACCTAGAGCCAGAAAACCCAAGTGGGCATGAGAAACAATAGAGCCCAACCCAAATATTTTCCAATTCGCTTCCCTTTATGAATTTCTCACTTGCTTGTATTCTCGTGAAGTAGTCCATTGGAAAAAAGAATCTGCCATTCCCAGTACAGTGAAATTAGAAAAGCTATCCGTGGAATCAGATTCTGGTAGTGTGTGCTATTGCATGCAGCATAGCAGACTTCCTCATCACTGGGCATATCAGCAACTATTAGATCAGAGTGGTCCACTCGTGATTGTGTTTTGTGGGTGTATCCACACAACCTCTTCGCCAACTAACACACACCAAAACAAAACCTGCAATGCCAACTGCACCCACATAAAAGGACAAAGTACTCGCCAGCTGCGACCCCACATGGCCATCGCATTCGGGAAAAAAAGAAGAAAGATTCCACAATTCCCGTTTCCCTTTGCTTTTTCCCTCACTTTCCCCACTTCCTAATCCCTATCCAATGCACCACTCTCACACCTCCACCGCTATTCTATTCACTCTCAACTAGTCTCACCTATCCTATTACATTAATATTATTATTATATCATATTCCCACTTAATATTATATTTTCTTTTATTTTCATTTCTTCACACTCACAAAATTAATTCCCTAATCTATATACACTACGACCATTATTCTTTTCATATAATCCTTTTCTTAATCTTTGCATCACTAACTACCGAACCTCAGTTTCTGATTTATTGGATGGTTTTGTTGTATTCCTATTGGGGCTTGGGATTAGGGCTAAAGAATATCTCTGGTTTGTTTGAAGCATGTCGCCGGTGGCCGACGATGGTTCCCTGTATTCATTTGCGGTGGAGTACGATGGACCGCCGCTAGGCTACGATCTTCCTCGTGCAGTGCCCATAAGCGTCGACGACATTCCGGTGGCTGCAGTGGTTTCTCAGGTTCCTCTCTCTGATACTCTCTCTTTGCCGGTTGTGCAGCCGCTCCTACCACCCCAACATCATCATCATCATCACAATCACAATGTCAAGGAGCTTAGAACACTCGGCTCCGGACCTAGGGTTTCTAAAGAACTTGAATTAGCTTCCGAAAGAACAGTGTCTCCCACTTCTGTGATTGCCTTTGAGAACAGAGCTTCGCAGAGCAACGTTTGTGAGCTCTCCGGCGAATTGAGTAGCTCCGGAGGGTTCGAGTTCGAGTTATCGAATGGGAATGATGGCTCTGGCGAATTTTCTGATGTGGTGGGTGATAGTTCGAGTTGTCGAATGGGAATGCTTGAAGAATCAAGCTCACGTGAGTTACCAGAGGGACCTAGAATTGGAGCAGGAACAGGAACTGAAACTAGAAGCATAAGCTCCAGCAACGTGGAGTTTTGGGACAAGTCAGGGAGAAGCTCGAGTGGTGCGTTGAGGGTTTCGAGTGGTGGAAAAGGGAGTTTGGATTTCAATGAGTTAAACCAACAAGATTGGGGATCCAATGAGTCTGTGTTGAGTTTAGAGTATCCATCAACTCGGGTTTCTTCTTTGAAGGCTGAGGATTGCGATGCTAGACGTCCCCCTCTTGTCACTTTCAATGTGGACTCTGATGATGCTTTGGATGAGGGGTTTGATATGGAGGATACTGTAACTCGACCGGTTAAAAGGGAACCTCTGACAAAGGGAAAGAAAGGGTCGTGTTATAGATGCTTCAAGGGGAATAGGTTCACGGAGAAGGAGGTTTGCCTTGTTTGTGATGCAAAGTATTGTAGTAATTGTGTGCTCAGAGCCATGGGGTCAATGCCCGAAGGTCGGAAATGTGTTACTTGCATTGGATTTCCGATTGACGAGTCCAAACGAGCGAATTTGGGGAAATTCTCTTGGATGCTCAAGCGGTTGCTTAATGACTTGGAGGTTCGACAGATAATGAAGGCCGAGAAGTTTTGTGAAGTAAATCAGCTTCCACCTGAATACATTTGTGTGAATGGGAAGCCACTTTCTTATGAGGAACTGATTACGTTGCAGAACTGTCCAAACCCTCCAAAGAAGCTAAAGCCAGGAAACTATTGGTATGATAAAGTATCTGGTCTTTGGGGGAAGGTAATTATTTATTTATTTATTTTTTCTCCATGCATTTGTAATTTGTATGCTGCTTGACTTTTTTTTACTACGGATGCTGATTGGTTTCTAATTTCGCAGGAAGGACAGAAGCCTTCCAGAATTATAAGTCCCCATCTGAATGTTGGAGGCCCCGTCCAACCGGATGCTAGCAATGGAAACACTCAGATTTTCATTAATGGTCGGGAAATAACAAAAGTAGAGCTTCGGATGTTACAGGTTTAAAATTCAATATATGCACAGACAATTTTCAAAGGCTCTATCGTAATAGCCATACCTTGTTTATTGTAAAACAAAATTGTTGAAAGGATCCTGTTTTGGTTGCTCAGTTGGCAGGAGTTCAGTGTGCTGGCAACCCACATTTTTGGGTCAATGAGGATGGTTCCTACCAAGAAGAGGGACAGAAGAATACAAGAGGGTATATATGGGGAAAGGTAACCTTTGTTTGTTGGGGCGTGTTTGTCTCTTATTTTCTTCCGGCCCAATGTTATTTGATACACACTCTTTTATTTCACTTGTTAGGCCGGAACGAAGCTTGTATGTGCTTTCCTGTCCCTGCCAGTTCCTTCTAAATCTTCAAGTTCTTGTGGAGAACAACACTCCAATCTGGCTAGCAGAACAAATCCTGACTACCTCGAGCATGGAATAGTTCAGAAGCTTCTCTTGGTTGGTTGCAGTGGATCTGGAACGAGCACTATCTTTAAGCAGGTGATTTTCGTTTGATAATTTTAGTATGTGAATCAAGTCACACTTAATACATTCATTTGGTTTGGAACATTAAATTGGACAAAAATATAATCGTGTTACCAATTTTGTTTTTTCTTAATTCACTTAGAAAACTGAAATGAGAGAAACTACTGGGAATAGTCTAAACTTGAAACATGGTATCAACCTAGTTAGTCATAATATATTGTGCACACTAATAGTGTCAATCCTGCAAAGGTTGCTGTATATGTTAATTGTGTGCAGGATTATATTTTACTCTCTTTTGTCTTATCTAGTATTTCCTCGTATAGAAAGACAAATTTTGGTGGTCAGTGACAACTCACTTCATAGTTGGACATATTAAGTGATTATACATGGTTACTTACCGATAGAATTGTTGGTAATAGTCAATGTATTCATAGAATTGCAAATATTTATGGCAGGCCAAGATGCTTTACAAAAGCATCCCCTTCTCAGAAGATGAGCATGAAAATATAAAGTCGACCATTCAGAGCAATGTTTATGCCTACCTTGGCATACTCCTTGAGGGTCGTGAGCGTTTTGAAGATGAAAGTTTGGGGGATTTAAAGAAAAGGCAATATTCTGTACTTGATACCACAGGTAGGAGTGCATTTTCTGTCTCCCTTACCCTTACACCCCTCTCTCTGAAATGTATATATATATATGTATGTATATAACTAGTAGAAAGTGTACATTTTTTTAAATACTTTTTTATACATTGATATTAAACTAAATGATAGTCAGCAAAAATAAATATCCCAAGGTTTGATTGGATAATGCTCATTAATTTCTCTATAGGAGGCAAGTAGATTTCACATTTAGCTTGTCCATTTGTACTAACAGATTGGCTGTTGTGATTTTGGTTTACTACAGGAACCAGTCCAAAACTTGATGATAAGACAATATATTCCATTGGCCCAAGGCTTAAAGCATTCTCTGATTGGTTGCTGAAAACTATGGTAGCAGGCAAACTTGATGCTATCTTTCCAGCTGCTACTCGTGAATATGCACCATTGATTGAGGAGTTGTGGAATGATGCAGCCATTAAGGCCACATACGAAAGAAGAAGTGAATTAGAAATGCTGCCTAGTGTTGCCAGTTATTTCTTAGAGCGGGTAAGATCTTTCTTTGATTTTTATTAATTTGTATGTGTGCTCTTGTCAAATTAATTGTATATGACCTTTTTACGTATTTATTTGTTACTCAATTGCATATGGAAGAACACGTCGAGTGTTGTCTATTATATAAGGCGAATTCTGTGACTATTAAAGATAATGAGATCCTCCATTAAGCAGCATAAATGAATGTTCTAAAGTATGAAAGGGAACAACTATTTAAGGTGGACTTGGTAAGAAGTAACTTGTTGCTTCAGGCTGGTAAATTTGTGCTATGAATCTGCTAAGGTACATTATTTCGTTAAAAATCTAGGTAACAGTTCTTATTGGACTAATAACTCTACAATCTGTAAAGGAATTTCATATTTAGCCAATTATTTTCTTCTGCAAAAATGAGAAAACTGATGGGGGAATAAATTGTTGTGCACAGTTATTTGGGCTGTGTTTATGAGAAGAGGCCGTGATCGTTCATATGGTTACAAAAGGATCTTTCCTCTGGGAGAGGGAGTGACTATTGTGCAATGGACATTGGAGTGAAGCATTATGCTTGAAGAGTAACGAGTTAAATTTAATTCTAGCTAACTCAGATGTTTATGAGGAAAAATTTGAACTGCTTTACACCTGTTATGCATTAGAATGCTTCGTCAGTATTATTTTTGCAAATATTTGCATTGTCTTACTTCCTTATTTTCTTATATGTTTCCATTTCTATTTGTTCTCTCCTGAAAAAGGATTTTTGGGCCAGTATCTTTGACAATCTTGTGCTGTTTGTGGACAATGTTTCTAACATCACAATTTTCTGTTTAGGCTGTTAAGATATTAAGGACTGATTATGAACCCTCAGATTTAGATATCCTCTATGCTGAGGGAGTTACTTCATCCAATGGGCTGGCTTGTGTGGAGTTTTCATTTCCCCAATCGGCTACTAAGGAAACTGTTGACAGTGCTGATCGACATGATTCTATGGTTAGGTAGGTGAAAATATTTTGTTCCTGTCTCAGCAAAAAGTATATCTGTGCCTGTTGTTATATGTGAGAATGTGTTGTGGCCCTGATTAACCCAATTGCTGTTATAGTTTTTTTTTCTCATGGAAAATGATAACACTCTCAAAACTGCCGAGGACTGTAAACACAGCTACACCAGAACTAGAAAACTCCTACAGAAACAAAATGCAGAATAAGTATGGTAGAATTGTAGTGAGAAGCCTTTGAAATTGTTGAAAAATATTTTCCCACCACATGCTATTAAAATGCTTTTGTTAAGCTTTGGTTTGCTCTGTCCTAGCTGGTATGATGTCTACAAAACACAATGGAGGTTTCTTCCGTCCGCATGGATATGTGTGTGAAGTGCTCTCACATTTAATGCTTCCATATTTGGTATTTTAGACCCTTTTTATATTCATTGGTTAGAGTGCTAATATCATACTTCAAATGGCTATCGAAGTGCATTTATAGTCAGGTTTATTGTGTAAAAGTTGAACTCTATTCCTCATAAAAAGATGCATTCAAATTTGTATATTTCTTTCAAATGCTTCGAATACTATTATACCCAAAAGCATATATAAATTACGTCTGAAATATCTGATGATGTTGCTGATTTTCACATATGCGAATTTGACTCAAATAAGAAAATTTATGCGTTCCCTACCTCATATGCCTGTGTCCAGAATTTTTTATTATCATTATTATTTATTGTTATTATTTTTTATTTTATTTTTGGGTGGGAGGGGGTGTGGTGAAAGTCATTGTTATACCTGCTATTGAATATTTCTAATTCTTTATACTTTTTGGCTGGTTAACAGGTATCAACTAATCAGAGTGCATGCAAGGGGGCAAGGAGAAAATTGCAAGTGGCTAGAGATGTTTGAGGATGTTGAAATGGTCATCTTCTGTGTCGCCTTGAGTGACTATGATCAGTTTTCTGTCGATGGAAATGGTTGTCTCACTAACAAGATGACATTGAGCATGAAGTTTTTTGAAACCATTGTCACTCATCCAACTTTTGAGCAAATGGACTTCCTGTTGATATTAAACAAATTTGATCAGTTTGAGGAGAAAATCGAACAAGTTCCTCTGACTAAGTGTGACTGGTTCTCTGATTTTCATCCAATGATTAGCCGCAGTGGCACCAACAGCAATAGCAACAGCATTAATAATAATCCATCCCTCGGTCAGCTGGCTTCTCATTACATAGGGGTTAAGTTTAAAAAGCTTTATTCATCTCTTACAGGGCGAAAGTTGTATGTGTCCCTGGTGAAAGGGTTGGAGCCTCGTAGTGTTGATGCTGCACTTAAATACGCCAAGGAAATTTTGAAGTGGAACGAAGAGAGACCAAACTTTAGCTTAAGTGAGTACTCGATGTATAGCACTGAGGGGAGCTCATTCTCTCATTGATTGCTAATTTAGGTAAGAGTTGAAAGTCATGCTTGTGTATGACTTGAATTCTGTCTGTGTACATATATTGCTAACTGGGTGTAACGGGGAACATTCATTCTACAAGCTATCGACTTGTAAGATGCACTAGACACGGTAGGTAAGGTTTCAAGCGGATAGGGTATGCTGGTGAGTCAGTCAGCGCATGCCACACAAATCAAGGTGTAATGATTAATATATATATTATTTTTTCACATGGTAAAGTAATATCTTGATGTTTGAATTTGTATATCACTGTTAGCCGGTCCTTCAACTTATATATTTGAATTGCAAACCAGCTTGTGTGCTATATAAGAGATGATACGCCACGGCGGAAGCTTAAGCTGTTTACTAGGCTCTCTGGCATTATCCTATTTGTGGATGGCATATAAATGACACAGTATACGTGAAAGTTATCCATTCACTTTGCTTTTTATGGAATGAATTATAGAAAGGAGATCGGTAGAAATAAAAATGGGTGAACATGAACCACAAGTGCAGAATTAGAGAGTACTACAAATTGCCCTAGCTATCTTGACCGAGTGTAGTATCATTAAACAAGTTATTGAAAGATGGAAAACCTTATAAAACATCTATAGAGGCTCCCTGCCCATATTTTGAGAAAACTAGCCTAATATAATCTAGTCCTCATAATTCATAAAGCTTGGTGTTCAGACGGGGGGTTAGGAGAACTTCAAGAGGGGTTGCTTTCAAATTTGTGAGTCCAATGCTCTCTGTCATATCTACAACTTGATTTGGAGGAGAAGCAACATTGAAAGAGTGCAACAGTCTAGCCAGGGTCAAGTGTACCACTCGCAGAGCCAATGAGGCCCCAGGACATGCTCGCCTTCCGGAACTAAAAGGGACGAGCTCATAGTTCTGACCTCTCACATCAACATCTTTGTGGCTTGTCAAGAACCTTTCAGGCTTGAAATCATGAGGGTCAGGCCAAACACGACCATCCCGGTGGATCTTCCAAGCATTCACCATCAAATGCGTACCAGCAGGAATTTGATAGCCGCATGAAAAAGTACAGTCATCCATGGCTGAACGAAAGGTGATAATGGGACTTGGTGGATAGAGGCGTAGCGTTTCCTTAACAATGGCTTGGAGATACACTAACTTCTTTATGTCAGATTCTTCCACCTTCCTGTCCTTCCCTATATGAATGTCCAGCTCATCTTGTGCTTTTTTAAGTTCCATTTGATGGTTTAGTAGCAGAGATAGCGCCCATGTTAGAGTGACCATGGTGGTGTCACTTCCTGCTAAAATCAGATTCTGCCAAGATATACCAGCTCATGGTTGGAATTCCAAGTTAGATCAGATGTCAAACCAAATAGGTAGTATGTACCAAAAACTGAGATTTTCTTATTAACAAAAGAATGATGTTGTACTGAATCAGATTATATGATAAAAAAAGAATGCAAACCTCGGAGAAGTGGACACTTTAACTAGTTCTTTATGAGAAGATTTAAATAGAGGAACCAAAGTGGACTCTATAGTTACATACCAATTTTCTCCAAATCTATGTCATGTATTTCTGTTTTATAATTCCTTTTGTCTCTCTTCATTGAGAGCTCATTTTCAGTACAACAAGAGTACTTACTCTTTTGCCAAAAAGGGAAAAATATAAGTATGAATGGAAATAACTATAAAGATGAAGATAATGTACTTTTTGCTATATTTGGTAAATTATCATAGAATTATGAAGATAAAAACATAGAATTCATCCATTATATGTTTTATCATAGGCAAGATTTTCTAGTAGCAACCATGAAAACTAGGTAGCTTAACACTTACCAGGGTAGTAGCCTTGATGATGGTATCTGAATCATAATCAGAAATCTCTGCATCCTGCAGAACATTCAGCATAACGTCCATGAAATCCTGTTCTTCCTTTTCATTCGTATTCAACTCTCTTTTCCTTTTGTGTTCCACCAGCCATCCTTCAACCACAGTATCCAATTCACTAGCTGTTCTCTTCATAGCCTTTTCATATCCATTGAAGTCTAACCACCCCAGAAATGGAATTGAATCAGATAACACGAACACCCCAAACAAACACACACAGTCCCTTATAGCTTTCTTATACCTTCTCGCTTCACCTTCTGCATAAACATCACTAGCCCCATAGTATGGCTTCCCTCCCACCATTCTCAGAGCAATATTATGAGTCAAATCCCCAAACCACTGCTTCATATCTACCAAAACCCCTCCCTCAGGACAACCTTCCCTTGACCATAACTTATAAAGCTCCCTTATTGCAGCCTCTAACTCAGATGTTCTTGTGTTCTTGAGCAGTTCAAGCCTGTGGTTAGACAGAAGCTCAATAGTAGCTAATTTTCTCATCTCACGCCAGTAAGGTCCATAAGGAGTGAAGCCAAACATTGCACAGTTATAACCCATTAGCTTTGAGGCTGCAACACGAGGCCTGTCGGAGAATGTTTTGTCATGGACGGTAAAACACTCCTTTGCCAACTCCCAACTACTCAAAACCAAAACTTTGTATGAACAAAGTGTTATTGTAAAAATTGGACCATGTTTATCAGCCATCATCCCAAGTGTTTTGTGTGTAAGTTGATGACCCCCGAAAAGGTGCACATGGCCAATAATAGGCCACGCACCTCCTGCTTGAGGTGCAGTGCAGATCTTTGTATTACGACTACGTGTTTTCTTTAATTGATAAATCAAGGCACCTACTAACAGGGCAAGGATGGTTGAAATGAAAGTTTTGAATTCCAAAGCATCCATGACCATGAGCTTGTTGAGCACCAAATTAAGCTATAGTATTTATAAACGAGCAAACACGGAAATTAGTTTTTAAAAGATATGAGGTCAGCTATAATAATTTCTATAAGATAAAATTTACTATTTTTTTTGTAAACAAAATTTACTAGTTAAATTAATACTTGAATGTGCTGTAAGGAGGAAGTTTTCATGCCACTTGTGTATCTAATGTGGCACTTATCATGCTGTCTATGCATCTCGGTTAACTTTTAATATAGAGACTAATTTGACTAATTGAGGAAGGATGTGAGTGATGTTTATCACCACACCCGGAAATATTCACCCAATAACTTGATGCTCTTTTTTACAACACCAATTTTTTCTTTTTTTCTTTTTATTCTTGTTATTTCCCCCCCCCCCCCCCTCAATTTTCTCCTCCCATTTACATTAAGAGATCACATAAAAAATAGTGATCTCGGAGCATAATAAATGCTCTCCCAATATAACTTTGTTATATATAATTTTATAATTTCAGTTAAATTTGTACAATCAATGACCCTTAATTGATACTGACCGAGTTGATCACTGATTCGAATTTAATAATACTAAAACAGTCTACTACAACAAATATAATTAAGCTATTTAAATTGGGTATATCTTAAAAAAGTCTTTATTTGCAGGGCCCGGAAATTCCTAAAATATCGATCTAAAATTCATTATAAAATTAATTTAGTGACATTTAATTTTTGTCACATGCATTTTTCTAATTGAGTTGTTACATTACTTTTGTTTTGTGGTTTTTAGTTGGTAGATTACTTTAAAAGTATATAAAAGATTTTTCAAGTTTTAAACTTATTTTACTCCCAAAGAAGGTCCAAGAAAGAAAAGATATAGACAATGTGGCTTACGTACGGTGTAATTCGTCTCCAATATTAAGCTACGGAAGCATATAAATAATATTTGGATGATTCGGTTGACCGAGTCCATACAAATCGCGACTTGCGTACCGCCATAAAATTCGTATCACTTGAATTGTCCTTGTTGAATTTGTTTTTGCTTGACTGATTCGAATCAAAACATTCAAAACAATATATATATGAAAAAGTATTTAACGATACTTTAAAAAAATTTATTTAATATTTATAGAAATAACGTTATTTTGAATTAAAAAATTAGAATGCTTTTTTTTAGCATTCTAATTTTGAAATAAATTAAATTTATAAATATACCATAATTTTCATTTCAAAATAAATGTCGTTTCAATAAACTTTAGACAAAATTGTCTAAAATAACTTTACAACAAACCGAACCTAATAATATAATAAGGAGTTATATTTATCTTATGTTGTAGGAAAATAGTTGTCTTATGTTAGAAAAATAAAATTACAAGTGAGACCCACATATAAAAGAAGAAAGAAAAAATAAACGTGGAACTCATCTTCACTTTATATGTGTAAGAAGTTTGTTTGTGTATCTCATGTAACATAACATAAATATAACCAAAGTTGATAATGATCTCGATAGCTTTATTTCCTTTTTCTTAACGGGTGTGGGAAACCGAAGATTTCGATCTGTTTAACTTTTCCAACTGGTTAAAGACTTTGTTTTTGTTTCTCCCTTATTGTGGAACAAACTTCACGTGGCTGTGTCATAAAGCATGGACTGATTACTTTCCTTGTCCTGATTGCTTGGCCTCCAGCTTAAAAAGATAAGCAACTTGAGATTTGTCTCGTGTAGTTTGCCTGAGGTGGATATTTAAGTAGTATCAAGTATTTTTCTTGGAAAAAAAAAATCAATTTAATCAACATAAATTCATTATTAGATTCTAATAAATATTTTGGGTTTATACATCATTTCACTTATATACTTAATTTAGCTTATTTCTTAATGATGTATGATTTTTTATCGCTCACACTTAAATTTAATTTAGAAGACTTAAACCCTAGACTTTATTTGAAGAAAATTGAGTTGCTTAATGCTTTTCTTATCACTCGAACTAACATAAGTTGCTAATTTAGAACTAATAATAATAAAAATTATATTAATAAGAGAGCGTTTTGTTAGCATTACTTCCGTACAATAATAACTATTATGACATGCGAAGACTTGACCGTAGCCTTTGCCTATTTCTATCATCATAAGTCATAACCCCCTAATAAGGATGAGTTAGGCCTCCATGGCGACTAGTGTTTTCTTTATGTGGTCATCATGTCTCCTTATTGTTTCAAACCAGAAAAAGTAGCAAGTTGGTGTCACTGGTGTGCACAGGTGGAGCCAACGAAACTTCACTCTATTCAAGTTCATACAAACTTTTTTGCTAGACCACATTCAGACATAATAAAAATAAAAATAAAGTAATGTAGCATAAATTTGTCCTCTCTCAAGTTCATTTTTGGAATTTTTCGTCCGTATTGTGCTAGACCCACTACTGTATTATTTTACCCAAAAATAAATTTTGCTTCATTAGGCCCCTCTCACGAAATACAAAATTTTCTAGCTTGTCATTACTTGTGTGCTATATGTTGGATGTGGTTGGTGTAATCTATGATTTTGTTGGGGCTATTAGTGGAGATTAAGTGAACCCATCCTTACGGCTGAATTAGGTGGTCTATATTTTGTCACTCGTGTGAGTTTAGTGTCTTAGACAGTGTTATTAAAATCGGACTGGCACGGCCTGTCCGACCGGTTTCGGTATTGGACCGTTTAAGTATTCGACCCGGTGATAAATCGTGGTTCAACCCAGCACATTGGAGTGAGGAGCGCCACTTCGTACCACTAGGCTCATCACTTGTTGATTAAAATGCACCATTTAATATATTTATCATATAACTATTAAGTTAAAGAATTATTTCAAAAATTACATCTAATGGGGTTCAAACCTTTTACATTGAGATATACAACATAGCAAATACCACTAGACTTCATTAGGTTATTGTTTGATTGGCACCATTTAAAATATTTATTATATAATTAAGTATAAAATATAAATTTATATATATAACCAGTTCATGCGGTTTAATTCGTGATCCACCGATTGAACCATTGACCCAGTGACTCGGTAGCTCGGTCGGGTCAATGACCGGTCCAGTTCTAATAACATTGGTCCTAGGGATAAGTTGTCGGCCAAGTAAGGAGAAAAAATGTCATGCAAGGGAAAGTACTCAATTCGGTGTTCTCTTTTATTAAAAAAAAAAAGTTCCTTTTTTATTTATACTTATTTTTATATTTCTCTTATTAAGTCCTAAGAATTCTTCTTTTTAGTAGAAGGGAGTACCGAATTCGATGTTTATAGTGCTTTGAAATTTTTCTCCCAGGCAAGAAGTGCATATGGTTTGTAGGTAAGGTATCTTGGTAGTAAGTTGGTCTCCTCAGTATAAAACAGCAGTACTGCATATAAATCACCTTTGAAGACAATTGAAGGAAAGGGTCCAGTGTAGCTCCTAGGACTGAAGCAGACAAGGACACGTGCTTGAACTCAATGAATCATCACGAACTACCTACAGATCACAATGATTATAACTTAAACTTAAGGCGTGGAATAAGAACCCCAAGTGGGGTTGCCTTAAAATTTGTCAAACCAATGCTCTCAGTCATGTCCAAAGGCTCATTAGATGGAGTAGTAATTTCAAAACTAAGCAGCAGCAGCAGCACAGCCAGAATAAGATACAGCACCGGGGAGAACTAGCGAAATTCCAGGGCCCTTCTTCAGCACTGGTGGATTATTAAGTATCAGAGATAAGGCCCATGTTGCAGACACCTCAATGGAGTAATCTCCAGCTAATATAATAGATTCTGCAAGTCAGGATCTGGCACACATTATTCCAATGCAGAATTATAAAACAATTATGAAAAGAAAATAAATACATGCTTACTATGAATTAGTAAAGTAGAATTATGATGGTTAGAAGCCTAGAAGAACCTGAAGTCTAGAAATTGTATTGGAAGAATCCTAAATAAATCAAGTATATTAAAACCAGTTTAAAAAGTAACCAGGTTAGTTTCCTTGATAACGGCATGTGTGTTAACTGTAAAACTATTTGTGTCTCATGTGTAACGTGTGTCAATCGGTTTAATTAAATAATAAAAGAGGCTTTATGGTAATTGACGTTTCGCATTAATGGTAATTGACGTTTTGACGTTTTGCATTATGGTAACGTTTTACATTAATGGTAATTGACGTTTTGACGTTTCGCATTAATGGGAAGTTACAGGGAGTTATTTGAAACTCCGTAACTGGTGACATGGTTCAGTTATATAAAGAGAAAAATGGTGAGTCTCTGATTATGATTATCTCTCAGAATTCTCTCCTTCATGGTCTGCCCATAAAAGTTGTATCAGATCCCTGTCATAGACGATACAAGGAACGCAGAGGGTAAAGACTCTGAGAAACAATTTTCCATCATCAAAGTTCTTCCGCACTAATGGAGAAAGGTACGCTCTTATGTGAAACTCATGAATTCTAAAGATCCTCTTTCATGTTCTTGAATGATTACTGATGAACATGTATTACTGATTTACTGATAAAATTACTTACAGTTGGTATCAGAGCATGTGTTTAAGAATTTGTGTTTTTCCATAAATAATTATGAATGAATTCCTGATTCATGAAGAGTTAGGGTTTTGGATAAAGCATCATGAAAAGAGAAACTGATCGATAAAGCATTTTTTGAAATCAATATCAAATGCTTTTTGTTAATCGTGCATCATGAAAAGAATTTGTACTGGCTAAAGAAATATTCAAAGTTGTTGTCGTAGGTCTCCTTGAATGTTCTCGGTTTTCGTGTTTCTTAATGGATGAAAATTTGCATTCGGTTTTAATGCCATTCGATTTTGATTTGAATTGAGTTTGAAAAGCATTTTCAATTGTTTTGAATGGATTATATTAACCGTGCATAATGGAGAACAAAGTTACTGTGTGAATTTTATTTTTATTTTTTAACGTAAATTTTTCTCGATTTTCGTGACAAAGCCATTTATTTGTATTGATGGCTTTTCAATGTAAACAATTACGCCATTCAATTTTGGGATGCCATACGTCGGTTTTCCAA